ATTATAATAACCTACTCTAGATTAACACACATATTATAATAACCTACTCTAGATTAACACACATATTATAATAACATACTCTAGATTAACACACATATTATAAACAATACTCTAGATTAATACACATATTATAATAACATACTCTAGATTTACACACATATTATAATAACATACTCTAGATTAACATACATATAATAATAACATACTCTAGATTAACACAGATATTATAATAAAGTACTGTAGACTTACACACATATTATAATAACATACTCTATATTTACACACATATTATAATAACATACTCTAGATTTACACACATATTATAAACAATACTCTAGATTAACACAGATATTATAATAAACTACTGTATACTTACACACATATTATAATAACATACTCTAGATTTAAACACATATTATAATAACATACTCTAGATTAACACACGTATTATAATAACATACTCTATATTTACAAATATATTATAATAACATACTCTAGATTTACACACATATTAAAATAAAATACTCTAGATTAACACACATATTATAATAAAGTACTGTAGACTTACACACATATTATAAAAACATACTCTAGATTAACACAGTTATTATAATAACATACTCTAGATGAAAACAGATATTATAATAAAGTACTGTAGACTTACACACATATTATAATAACATACTCTAGATTTACACACATATTATAATAACATACTCTAGATTAATACACATATTATAATAACATACTCTATATGTACACACATATTATAAACAATACTCTAGATTAACACAGATATTATAATAAAGTACTGTAGACTTACACACATATTATAATAACATACTCTAGATTTACACACATATTATAATAACATACTCTAGATTAACACACATATTATAATAACATACTCTAGATTTACACACATATTATAATAACATACTCTAGATTTACACACATATCATAATAACATACTCTAGATTTACACACATATTATAATAACATACTCTAGA